GGCCATTGTCTCTGTGTGCGTGCTATATTTAGCATGTCCTACTTCAATGACCTTGTTCTTCACTTGAGAAATAAAAAGTCCAATCTCATCGCTCTCACTCTCTCCCTATTTGTCTCCCTGCAGTGTACACTGCGTAAATGGTTGACATCCTGATGTTGTGCAACACCATGATTCAGCCAGGAAGATCCATAATATCAACCTTTTAATCTGTTAAATTTTAGTAGCCAGTATTTCCAACTCACAGTACCAGGAACCATTATCCTAAATCACCAGTTGGAGCCAGTAAATATCGGTTTTCTGGATATTTACTAGAGTGAAAGTCCTCCTGAGGAAAACTCTGATTTGAGCCTAGATTTCCCCGGCCAGCTATTCCTCAGAAGTCTTTTATAACCCATTGTTCTCAGTGTTTTCACACAAGCGTCTGTCATCATTAGCTAACTTTCTTTCTTTTCCTCTTCTCCTCTAGTCTGTTCTCAGTTCTCTCGTGGCGTCTACGCCATTTTTGGCTTCTACGACAAGAAGTCCGTCAACACCATCACGTCCTTCTGCGAGACCCTCCATGTCTCCTTCATTACGCCGTCTTTTCCCGCAGAGGGAATGAACCAGTTTGTTCTCCAGATGCGACCGGACATCAAGGGGCCACTGGTTTCACTGGTGGAGTACTACAAGTGGGAAAAGTTTGCCTATCTGTATGACAGCGATAGAGGTAAAGGAAATTCAATTTTTTAATTTTTAAAAAAAAAAGTTTATTTACATTTAAATTCCAGATGCACAAACAGACTAGAAGGGAATTAGAAACAGCATACAACAAGGGCAAGAAGATGAACAATGATAACAACAGATAGACATTCTATCACCAAACGTAAATTTTCCCTCTCCCAAGATGGAACATAAAAGCAGAGCTTTCCCATGGTGCGCGTGTTTCCACTGGGAAACTTTATAGTGTCGGACCTGGGGTATGCCAGTGGTAAGATTGTGCTACGGGTTAAATGGTGAAGCGGAAACAGTGTGTACCTCACTGTCCGCTATATTGTTCAAGTAAATTGGTTTTGTCGGTGATATACTGTGTTGTGGTTGTTTGTGTACGCTAGTTTAAAATGTATGCGCTAGTTTAAAATGTTTAGCGTTTATGCCGCTAAACCGCTACATTTTAAACTCGTTGCGTATGTCCGCAGTGCATTGTGGGTAGCGTAGTCTGTGTAACTTTCTGCTGTTCAGAACATTGGTGCCAGAGAAACAGAAAACGGTTTAAAAAAACGTCCATACTATTTACAGACCTATACAAAAAAAGATAGAAACGTGAAAACTTTTAGTTTTTTTTTAGTGACCATGGAGGTCATTAATTTACCTTTAATATCAGGATGCTACTTTCACTATCTTTTGATGAATGTAAGTAACATTAAAGTGTCGAAGTAATGATTTAAACTTAATCTGAATTCACTCTTTTTGTAATCAAGTCTTGCTTGTCTTTCTTTTTTTCTTCTTGTCTTTCTGCTTTTTCTTTCTTTTGTAGGTCTCTCCACTCTGCAGGTAATACTGGACACAGCTGCAGAGAAAAAGTGGGTCGTCACCGCCATCAATGTAGGGAACCTGAAAGACGAAAGAAAAGATGAAGCCTACCGCTCCCTTTTTCAGGTACTAATAATCCATTCTGTATATTATTTTTTTTTAATTTTTATTTTTTTGCTGTCAAACCAACTTTACCTTTTAATAATCTGTAGATTCCTGTATGCAGAATTTAAAAGTGTCGCTATTCTAGTGAAGCTAATCTTCACTGCTTTGATAACGCAGACCCCACTGTATGTGTAATCTGATTTCAGGACCTGGAGATTCGCAAAGAGCGACGCATCATCCTGGACTGTGAACAGGACAAAGTCAAAGACATCATGGAGCAGGTTGGCTCCAGTCTGATCATGCGATC